TTTTTGAATTGTCAATATTTTCAAAAATTATGAAAAAATAACTAATTTGTGTTGTAAGTTTTATACAATAATGCCATTATTTTAATAGAAAGTATAATTTATTAAGTAAATACATTATACCTTGATCATTTACTTTCAATTATTATAATCTGTATATACATGTATATGAAATTTTCAGGATCTGAAAAAAAAAATGATATTTTTTCTTACCGAATATATTTTTTCTTTCCCAAAAAGAATCTGCCTTTGCTGGTGCCAACAATTATTAGGCAAGAGATTAAACAGAAAAAAAAAAAAAAAAAAAGAAACCAAGTGGATTTATACTCATTTCACACTGATAAATAATCAGTGTATGATCATTTGAAAAGAAACAAATAAATAAAAATCTCAACTTTCAATATGGGGAGAGGGATCTTGGAGAGATTTCTATTTTGCTCAGAGAGTTGGAATTGATCATTTGCTTCAGTTTCTGATAGGAGCAGAGACCCAGTACCTTACCGTTGAGTTGGCGCTCCAATTCTCCGTCGATAGCCTGCAACATCATCGTCGTCATCATCTTCATTCAACTCACCTTCAAATTTCAAAATTTGGAATAGAACCCTTTTGTATTTCCTTCCGTGGCAGAGACCCAAATCATGAGAAATCAAAGTAATCATTTCAAGTCTCGTTGATTTCCTTATTTTCATAGGCTACTACATTAACAAGCTCTTCAATTTCAGGTGAGTGTATGCATTCATCAACGTTACTTTTGACTTGCTCGTTTATGTTTCATTTTGTGGCGTTTGTTCAGCATAGTTTTCTTTTGATATTGACGAATTTGCTTCCCTGACGACCATGTATTTCTGGGTAGCTCATTTGATCGAACGAATGCAAAGATATGAGCATTTAGCTTTCTGGGTTCTCATGGCTGATGCTGATGATTTGTGTTTGAAGCTATGAAGTTGTCTTTACGATGTTCCTAATTTAGTTTCCTGGTGCTTCTGTTTTTGCTCCCAATTAAAATCTGTTCAATGGTTATTATGAGTAAAGACGATAATGTCAAAGTAGAATTGAATCAGGTGCTGGTTAAAATGATGTACCCTACTTGGTGCTTAAGTAGGTTAGTTCAAATCCTAGGTTTTCTTCTCTGAGATCAAATTTTATTTTGGGAGTCATTTTTACTGTTAAACTGAATCAGTACAATATTATGTTTGAGGACATAAGTGACGGTGAATGGTTCCTTTTAAAACAAAACAAAAGAGTGAAAAAAACAATTCTTTAACCTAGTATGTTATTTGATTTAGTGGTGCAAGGAATATATTGTTTTGGTCTTCACATAGAAAGTTTATATGGTATAATATTTGTGTCTGTGTTTGTCTATGTATATACTTAGTATTATTATGGATAAAAATTTCTTTAATAGATTGGTAAATGGACCTCATTGAGCTGCTGTAGCTCTAACTAAAATTAGAACTTAAAGTATAGAAAAATAAAAACAATGGTTGCTGTGTTTCTGTTCTGTTTATGATGAATTCCTTTTATTAAATGTTTCGAAGTTTTACACATATTGTGTAACCTTTTACCTAATGTTTTTAGGATCAGTATGCGTGGTCCTGGAAAGAAGGCGTCACGTCAAGAATTTGGAAAATCTGGCTTGTCAGAAAGGGAAACTGAATCTGAGCTAATTTCATCATTACAGTTCAAAAAAAGGAGCAACATGTCATGTAGCAGAAAACCAAAAGCTAAAGTAAAATCTCATGCAAAGAGAAATAGTACAAACCTGTCAAAGACAAAGCGGAAGGCTACTGGTGCAATGTCCTCTAAAAAGCGGGCTTCCATGAAGCTCCAAGACAAGATTGCCTCAGTTGTTAGTCCTGAAGGGGATGGAAAACATATCAGTGAAGATGTCAAAGTTAAGAAACTAAGGAAGAGGAGGAAAAAGAAGCAGAAGAATAAGGTGGAGTTAGACGAAGCTTCACGTCTTCAAAGGAGAACAAGGTACTTGTTGATTAAAATGAAGCTGGAGCAGAATCTTATTGATGCTTACTCTACAGAAGGTTGGAAAGGTCATAGGTATGGAAAATTCTGTTTTACAACTTAGTGTTAATAATGAGACTACTGCTTTTTGGAGCTTAGCTCTTAAGTGATCATGATTTCCATGGAGGACAAGTTCCTGCCTTTTAAGCTTAACGAGACTACAACATTGAAATAAAGATTCAGATAAGACATAGATTTTTATGGAAACCAGACATTTGGATAAGACAATAGTTTTACCATCACTTTTTTTGTTCCATTTTTCTTGAGCATGATATTGAAATAAAAAATATTTGTTTTTGGCTCATATATTTATTATTTTAAACCATATTGGAGCATGTAAACCGGATGTGTGAGAATATAGTAAATCATATTGGAGCATGTAACTGACAATATGGTATCTTACAAACAATATACACGGTAAGGTGCCTTTTGTTCTCGTGAATGGTATGAAGGATGCAAATTCAAGAAATATTGTTTCAAACAACATACACACGGTAAGATACCTTTTGTTTTCATGAAATATATGGAGTATGCAAATTCTTTCTTGATGTCAGTGGAATTAACAATCATTTATAAAACAACCAATAGTTTTCCCTGAAGTTGAGTGGGTTAAAATGATGCATTTGCAAGAGAGGAAATAGGTTCCTTATGTAAAATTAGGATAATTGAATCATAGAATGTCTTGCGTCACTACATAACATGTGCTGCAACTAGTGTCATTATTTACTTACAGACATGTAGCACAAAAAGGTTATAGATACCATCTTTATGTTAGCATTTGCACAAAATAAGCTTGCAACTAAGTTGGCTTCTAATATGACAATGTTTCAGAACAGATTTAAATGTTCTAATTTTACATTCCTGATTTAAGAGGAGGACGTTGATGAGCTGAAAATTAGAATGTCTGGCTTTTATTGCAGTAGAAAGTTTTTCACTTTTTTTGAGCTAGCATTTACTATTTTTCTGGGTTCATTTTCATAGTCGAGAAAAGATAAGACCAGAAAAGGAGCTAGAAAGAGCAAGGAAGCAGATACTCAAGTGCAAACTTGGAATTCGTGATGCAATTCACCAGTTGGATTCCCTTAGTTCTGTGGGGAGCATTGAAGACACAGCTATTGCTCCTGATGGATCTGTTTACCATGAACATGTAAGCAATAGTAGATAAAGGATTTACCATTAGTAGGTTTCATTTGATAAAAATTGTTTCAGTTAGAGGTGTAGGAGCTATTTGGAATTCCTCTATGATATGCTATTTATTTTGAATAAGCTTGTTATTTATAATTTTGGTAGCAATTTGAATTTTCCTCATTGGTTGGCCACATCCTGTGCTTCAATATAGACATCACCAATGATGCAGTTACCCAGCCTGGTTAGGAAGATATTACTTAATTGATCATATTTCATATTTTATTTTATATTCATGTTGGTCTGAGGGGACATGTATCTTTATATTTATATGGTTCTCTATGGATAGATATTTTGTGCAAAGTGCAAGTTACGTGAAGCTTTCCCAGATAATGATATTGTGCTTTGTGATGGGACATGCAATTGTGCATTCCACCAAAAGTGCCTTGATCCTCCATTGGACACTGAAAATAGTAAGTTCTGGTCTTGTGGATGCATATTTTGGACTATGAATGATGCTTTTTTTATAGTTTTTCTAAGATTGATTAAACAATTTTTCAGTTCCTCCAGGAGATCAGGGGTGGTTTTGCAAATTTTGTGTGTGTAAGATAGAAATTATTGAAGCTATGAATGCACATATTGGAACACACTTCCCTGTGGACAGCAATTGGCAGGTTATTTTTGCAATCTTGCCAATCCATCCCTGTCAATCAGTTGTATGCTTGAAATGGACTTTACTACTCTAGTGACCAAACTGATGAATCCATTCTTCATAGAGCAGGATATTTTCAAGGAAGAAGCTGCTCTCCCTGATGATGGGGGAGCTTTATTAAACCAAGAGGAGGAATGGCCTTCAGATGATTCTGAGGATGATGATTATGATCCAGAAAGGAGAGAAAAAAGCTGCAGTGCCAGCGAGGTGGGCACTGATGAAGATGCATCTGATAATGCAAGCAGTTCAACTAGCTTGAGTTGGTCTTTAGATGGTGAAGCTTTTTCAGGATCTGGTACATGGGAATTGGAGGGAGATCATTATAGAAGCCAATTAGTCGACAGCAGTACAAATTCTGCTGAGACCAGCGATGCGGAAATTATACATAGCCGTAGACAGCGAAGAGCAGTTGATTATAAGAAATTATATGATGTGAGTATCAAAAACTTTGCAGCTGGACAAATTATCTTGTTTAATGGGAATATTCTGTTGTATTCTCTTTTTTTAATAGTTTGACAAAAATTCTCATCCCATGAATTTTATTAATCGCATAATTTTTTCTCAATTTATAAGCCGAAGGAAATACCATTTCAGCATATTAGACAAAATAATTTCTCAGCTGAGAGCTTCTTCATTGGCTGTTTTACTACAAATATTGGAGATATTGTATGGCGGGATGAGAACTAATAATAAAAGTCTCTTTTCTTGTTTTGGGGAAGGAATGGGTGGGGGAACATGGCCATCTGAATATTTTCAGACTGCTTATTATTAATCTTTAGTTAAAGAAAATAAATAGAGGTCAAAGTATGTTTTGAGATTCAAACTAGGAGCAAATCAGAATACAAATCTACTTGATAAGCTCTTAATAAAGGGAAGAAAACAGAAGAAAAATATCAAGAACAAAAAGAGGGAATCAGAAAAAGAATAAAGATTGGAAAAGTATCTTCCCTCTCTTTCTGATTGGAAAATTCAGATTCAAATCCATTCTTCTATTCTGCAAGTTTCCTACGAAAGCCTTCACACTTATTATTCTAGAGCACATAAAAGTGAGATGCCCATTCAATGTATTAAAAATTCGCTGTAAGTTGGTTTTTCTCAATGAAAAGACTCGGTCTCGTTTCAACTCTCAAATTGCTTTATCATGGTTGTGTTTGTAGTTATGCATTTTATTACTAGTGCACTTAAGTTATCTAAAAAAAATTTACTTTTATAATGTGATCCTTCTCTATACATAGGAAATGTTTGGAAAGGAAGCTCTCCCATATGAGCAAATTAGTGAGGATGAAGACTGGGGTCCTCATAAAAGAAGGCGGAGAGAAAAGGAATCAGATGCTGTAAGCACCCTTATGACCCTGCATGAAAGTGAGAAGAAAAGCCCAAATATTGAAACTGTAGAAGTGGGAGAAAAACTTTCTCCTGATGATAAAGCTAGAAGGACGATTTTCAGAATTCCTCCCAATGCAGTTGAGGTAGTAAATGATTTGGCTTAGTAGAAACTTTTCTAATGGAGCTCCTTATTCTCATCAGACCACAGAATAATGTGTTTCCTGACATTCTTATTTTGCCCTATTACGTGCTATGGCAGAAGCTTCGCCAAGCTTTTGCTGAGAACGAACTTCCTTCTAGAACCATCAAGGAGAATCTTTCAAAAGAGTTGGGTCTTGAACCGGATAAGGTATAATTAAATAGATCTTGTTCTTTAATACCATAAATTCTGTCGACGTTTAAAATGAATTTAGTTCAATGATGGTGCAAATCTCTCTAGAAACTAGAGTTCTCTTTTATTCAGATACTATTTTATTCATAAAGAGGAGTCATTATTATTTCATTGTTTTTGTTGTTAGTTTGTCATATTACTAGCGTTCAACTATATAAAAAACGATTCATTTATGACCTTACCAAAAGCATTCTTTTTAATGAAATGTATCTCTCAAAGCATAAATAGAGGTGGATAAATAATGAGAATATGAGACTGTTCACACTAGAGAACTACTGTTAGTTTTGACATCGGAAAGGGACTCTTTAGACAATATCTGTTTGTTTCCCTTTGTGTGTAAAGGGTGGATTGGACCAATATTAGCATATATAGAGTTGTAGATCAAGCCAAGTTAGTAGTACTGATTTGGAAATAAATTAATAAATATAGAGGAAATAACTCTAAAATCTTAATAAGAATGTGATGAAATAAAATTTGCATTAGTGCCTATTCTCTCTAGAACTTAATAACCCAGATCTTTCTAATGTTTTTGGGGGAAAAAATGTATAAAGATGTATCATTCATAAGGCATCAAGGAATTACATTATACAAGAAGAGCTATATGCAAGAGAAACATAAGGTCATTGAAGTTTCAGATACCAGATAAAAGAGTTTAGACGGCCTGAAAACCATAGATTTAGTGTCTGAAACCAGTCATCTGTAGTACAATGTGAAGGAAGAATGACAGTCTCAAGTGTTCTTCAATTCCGCTCTCTGTATGGTCCAAAAGATGGAGATGGAATAAGAAAAACCAAGGTTCTATTTGGCGCATAGCAGGATTTTCTGGTTTATATACGCACACAGGCACGCGTATGCTTAACAAAACAACATGCTTGATGGTTGAAAATGGAAATAAGTCTTTAGAAAATGAAAATAAAAGTGTTGGTGCAGGTCTGGAAATAACAATTTTTTTTTCTTTTTTCTCAAATTAGTGTAAAAAAGTGCTTCAAAGTATTGTGATTTGACCTGGACCTATCCTGATGAAGGTCAAGGCATTTCAAATTGTTTGTTGACTCACAGAATGAAAACTTAAGACTTTGGTCCATTCCACTGGAGGAAGGAGAGAAATTAGAAACACACAAAAAAAAGGGGAGATGCTCTCCAATATGGGAGATCTTTAAATATATCGCCAGGGCCAAATAAAATGGAGATAATCTTTCCATTATTCAGAAGTCCAGCATCCTTTCTCCTCCTTGATTTCCTCCTTCTGATGTTGTTCATCATGGATCATTAATAGTTTCTGAATTGTCTGGGTAACAGGTGGGAAATAATGACATCCATTTATTGAAATTACTGTTCTATTTCTTATTAGCTCTTTCAGTTTTCACACCAAAGTAGCATTTTCCAGGTAAGCAAATGGTTCAAGAATGCCCGCTATATTGCGCTAAGAACAAGAAAGGTGAGTCTCATTCTGTACACTGCTAATATTCTTTTGATTCATTTACCTCCAGCCTTTCTCCCATTTTCTTAGAAGTTAAGTACCTTTTTTCTGGTTTGAGCAAATTCACATTTTCATATGGATATTTAGATTGCTAGCAAAAATTCATGCTCTTTTATAGATAGTATAATTCACATGTTAATATTTAATCGATTGGTTAAATACAATTGTATGTCTTTGGTCCTTATGATGGTGTCTGGGATTTGTATGCATTCTTGACTATTGACATTAATATCTATAACTTGAAGATTTTTGTTTTATATAATTGTAAGCAAGCTTTAATATTTTGGACAACAGGCAGAGGGAGCAAAACAACACAATTCTAGCCCTCAATTTCTAGAGGAATCTGGTCTACAATTATGTAACACTGAAAATCCAGATGATGTGGTAATGGAAAACAACTCGGCAGAAGGTGAGAATTCGATAAAGATACATAAGGGAGTGAACCAGAATCGTCGTGGTTCACTTAGAAAAAGCAATAAGGTATTGTCTGGCAAGATCCTTGTTATTCTTGACACCCTCTTTGTTATTTGCTAATATGATGATATTAGAATTAGTTTCAAATACTATTACTATTATGGCGGCAGTCAAAGTGTAGAAAATCATGAAATGGTAGTTTAATAATTTTTTGTGAATTTGTTGTGGGCAGGTGGAGATGTCCGCTACCACAATATCCTTTTTTCTTCATTCTATTACGATATTGTTCGGGTGCCAGGTGCCTATATAATGGCACCCTCCTTATTCTGTATGCAAGAAAAATCAAAGAAGGAATTCTTCTCCTTTCGAAATCTTCATTTTCTTTCTCTAAAATTTTCATGGGGTCGAGCATCTCTGATCAAAAGCTTCATCCGACTG